AGGTAGACAGGCAAACTGATCAGGTATGTGTAGGTGAATGGGACTATACCTACAATAATATATAGGCTTGGCAGACAATATTTCTACATAAGTATTTGTATGTACTGTAAAAATGTCCACGTATATAGTAGACCTCACAGGGGGCAAAGTTATGAAAACTTCTTAGCCATGACCAAACACTTTGAGGGAGTGCACTGCTGCCCCTCTGGGCTCAGGACCATAGTCAAGGGGACATCAAGCTCAACAGGCATAACATAGTCCACAAAGACATTATTTTACATCCTACTTTGGTGGGTAGCAACTGAGGTCTTAAAAGCTTGTGAGTGGCTATCTGAGGTGCAACCATTGGTCTCTCTTCATCTGAAGCAAAGAAGAGTGAAGACAATCAAAGATGAATGGGTATAATTAGTCCAAGGGACTAGTGGACAACATGAACCTCAGCCTCCACAACCCTGAAGAGCAGAACAGATGGTGTGCAGCTACCACCACCAACCACTGTGAAAGGGATCACAATAGGAAGTCCCATATAGAGTGGGAGAAAAATATGGGACAAAAGTCAAAGCCATAAAAACAACCAGGCATACTGGTCTGATAAAGACTGGTGGAACCCCTAAGACTATGACCTTTAAAATTCTTTCAAGCCTGGAACTGAACTTACACTCTTGGCTCAACTTTCAGACAAGCCTATTAAGGTGAATAATAACACTAGGGAAGTACTCACTCATTAGAACAATCAATCATAACAGATTAAAAGAGGATTTGCTTAGGGATAAAGCTGAGATTAAGACTTCAGAAGAAGGAAGAGGCCATCCACTTCTCAAAGAATTGGCTAGTGAAAACCTTATTGACAGTGGTGAAACACTGATATATTAATGGAAAACTTTACGAATAGCCCTGAAACACTATCTGATACAGTGCTGGAAGATGATCCCCTCAGGTGAGAAGGCATTCAAAATACAACTGGGGAATAGCTACCTCTTCAGAGTAGAGTTAACCTTAATAATGTGGATGGAATAAAGGTTTCGGGACCTCCATTTGCTGATGTAGCATGACTCAAAATGAGAAGAAATAGCTGCAAACATCCATTAATAATCCGAACATGGAATGTATTAAATATAAATCTAGGAAAATTGGAAGTTGTCAGAAATGAAATGGAACACCTAAAGATCGATATCCTAGGTATTAGTGAGCTGAAATGGACTGGTTTTGGCCATTTTGAATCAGACAACCATATGATCTACTATGCTGGGAATAGCAAATTGAATGGGAATGGTGTGGCATCCATCTTCACAAAGAATATTTCAAGATTTATCCTGAAGCACAATGCTGTCAGTGATAGGATAATATTCATACACCTACAAGGAAGACCAGTTAATACTACAATTATGTATCAACCACCAAAACCAAAGACAAGGAAATTAAAGATTTTCACCAACTTCTGCAGTCTGAAATTGACCAAACATGCAATCACAATGTTTACTGGTGACTGAAATGCAAAAGTTGGAAACAAAGAAGAATCACCGGTAGTTGGAAAACATGGTGTTGATGACAGAAATAATGCTGGAGATCACGTGATAGAATTTTGTAAGACCAATAACTTATTCATTGTAAATACCTTTTTTCAACAACGTAAATGGCAGCTATACGCATGGACTTCACAGATGGAGTACACAGGAATCAGATCGACTACATCTGTGGAAAGAGGTGATGGAGAAGCTCAATATCTTCAGCTGAAACAAGGCTTGGAGCTGTGGCACAGATCATCAACTGCTCATATGCAAATTCAAGTTGAAGCTGGAGACAAAACAAGTCCACAAGAGCCAAAATATGACCTTGATTATATTCCACCTGAATTTAGAGACCATATAAAGAATAGATATGATGCACGGAACACCAATGACCAAAAACCAGAGGAATTGTGGGATGACATCAAGAACATCATCCATGAAGAAAGCAAAAGGTCATTAAAAATACAGGAAAGGAAGAAAAGACTAAAATGGATGTCAGAAGAGACTATGAAACTTGCTTTTGAACAGAGAGTAGCTAACACAAATGGAAGAAATAACAAGATAAAAGAGCTGAACAGAAGATTTCAAAGAGCAGCTTAAGAAGACAGTCAATTATTATCATGAAATGTGCAAAGACCTGGAATTACAGAACTAAAAGGGAAGAACATGCTTAGCATTTCTCAAGCTGAAAGAACTGAAGAAAAAATTCAAGCCTCGAATTGCAATACTGAAAGATTCTATAGGGAAAATATTGAATGATGCAGGAAATATCAAAAAAAGATGGAAGGAATACCCAGAGTCACTGTACCAAAAATAACTGGTCAATGTTCATACATTTCAGGAGGTGACATATGATCTAGAACCAATGGTATTGAAGGAAGACGTCAAAGTTATACTGAAGGAATTGGCAAAGAACAAGGCTCCAGGAATTTATGGAATACCAATTGAGATGTTTCAACAAATGGATGCTGTGCTGGAGGCATTCACTCGGCTTTGCCAAGAGATTTGGAGGACAGCTACCTGACCAAACTGACTGGAAGAGATCCATATTTGTACCCCTTCCAAAGAAAGGTGATCCCACAGAATGTGGAAATTATCAAACAATATCATTAATATCACATTCAAATAAAAACTGGCTGAAGATAATTAAAAAATGGTTGCAGCTGTATATTGACAGAGAACTTCCAGAACTGCAAGCTGGATTCAGAAGAGGACGTGGAATGAGAGATATCATTGCTGATGTCAGATGGATCTTGTTGAAAGCAAAGAATACCAGAAAGATGTTTACTTGTGTTTTATTGACTACACAAAAGCATTTGATTGTGTGGATCATAACAAATTATGGGTAACATTGAGAAGAATGAGAATTCCAGAATGCTTAATTGTACTCATGAGGAACCTGTACACAGACCAGGAACCTGTCATTCAAGTAGAACAAGGGGATACTGCATGGTTTAAAATCAAGAAGGAGTGTGTCAGCATTTTATCCTTTCACCATACTTATTCAATCTGTATGCTGAACAAATAATCCAAGAAGCTGGATTATCTGAAGAACATGGCATCAGGATTGGAGGAAGAATCGTTAACAACCTGTGATACACTGATGACACAACTTTGCTTGCTGAAAGTGAGGATGACTTGAAGCACTTACTGATGAAGATTAAACACTACAGTCTGTAGTATGGATTACACCTTAACATAAAGAAAACAAAAATCCTTACAACTGGACCAATAAGCAGCATCACGATAAATGTAGAAAAGAATGAAGTTGTCAAAGATTTCATATTACTTAGTTCCTCAGTCAACACCCATGAAAGCAGCAGCCAAGAAATCAGACGATGTATTGCACTGGGCAAATCTGCTGCAAAAGACCTCTTTAAAGTGCTGAAGACCAAAGATGTCTCTTTGAAGACCAAGGTGCACCTAACCCAAGCCATGGTATTTTCAGTTGCCTCATATGCATGACAGCTGGCCAAAGAATAAGTAAGACCAAAGCAGAGTTGATACTTTTGAGTTGTGGTGTTGGCAAAGAATATTGAAAGTACCATGGACTACTAGAAGAAATAACAAATCTGTCTTGGGAGAAGTGCAGCCAGAATGCTCCTTGGAAGCGAGAATGGCTAGACTTTGTCTCACCTATTTTGGTCACCTTGTCAGAAGGGATCACTCCATGGAGAAGGATATCATGCTTTGTAAAATGAAGGGTCAAACAATAAGGCGAAGGCCTTCAATGAGATGAATTGACACAGTGGCTGCAACAATGGGATCATGAGGCTGCCACAGGACTGGGTAGTGTTTCATTCTGTTGTACATAGGGTCGCTATGGGTTGGAGCTGACTGGATGGCACCTAACAACAACAACAAAGCTCAGAAGGGAGGAATGTATAGGAAAGAAGGACAAAGAGAAATAGCAGGAAGTGGAAAGAATACTATTACAATGTGGGGATTGCAATCCATGTCAGGAACCAAAATGTGTATGATCTGTCGAATGGAAAACCAATTTGCTCTGTACACTTTCATCCAATTAACAATAAAGTTGTTTTTTAAGTGTGTGTATACATATACAAATATATACTCATGCATACGTGAAGCAGTACCCCAAAAGGTGATAGAGGAAATTAAATCTATGCACAAGTATCCCTGGAGTGCTTACCGTGTGCAGCACCTATGTTAATGATACAGCTACTTTTTACAGAGAATTATGAACCAGTTCTTCCAGACTATCTTATGGAGGTAAAGACAGATGAATCTTGCCCTAGGATTTGCAACTACGTAATGACAGAGCCGAGTTTAAAATCTAAACCACAATAGTGTTATATGGATGGACTGCTGAGGTTGGACGTCTTATTTGAACTATTAGTCATTCTCCTTCCCTCCCCCAATGCTGAGCGGAGGACACCCAGAGTGATGGTCCTCAAGCACCCGTAGCCCATCGCCCCGTTCTCCCTTCCCATGATATTCTCCCGCTGCCACGGGATGTTCGCCCCACCGTCCACGTGAGAGTGGTGGACTGTTAGCCACTTCGCAAAGGTGCAGCAACCCGAGGCCTAAGTGGGGGCAAGAATCCAAACACGGAAGAGCAGGAGAGTAGGTCAAACAGCGTAGAGGAAAGCCCGCAGCGTCCCGTTAGCTGGTCTACCTCCTCTGCACAGACGCGAAAACCCAGCTCCAGAACAGGGATGTCGTGGAAAGAGCAGAGGCGGGATAGATAGGACGGGCGGCTGTCCCGGCCTGCAAGCATGCAGCACCGTGTCCGCCCCATTTGCTGCCGTTAAAACTGGCGGCCATTGAAGCTCCTGGGGGCCTTCCGGGGCCTCGGCCGTGGCTGGGCCTTCGCGGCGGGGCTGAGCCTGTGCCCACGGCTGAGAGCTGCTCAGACATCCTGGGCTCCAGGCCGGTGCCGCAGCGAGACTACCGGGACGGCGGGCGCTGAACGGGGCGGGACGTGAGCGGGCGGAAAGGCAGCGAGCTGGGCACCTTCTGCGGGCGGCCATGGCGGCGGTGCTGGGGGCGACCCGGCGCCTGTTCGCGGCGCTGCGAGGCCGGAGCCCGAGCCTCGCGGCCTTGGTGAGTGCGGAGGGGCCGCCTAGCGGAGCAGGGCAAAGCCTCTGTGGCGCGGGGTGTGGGTCAGCAGCAGGAGCTGGGCAGGCTCAGAAGTCGTAGCGGCTTTAGGGCCTGCCTTTTGGGTCACCAGGTTTGGGGATCTGACACCTACCTGACCTGCTGGTCTCAGTGAAGGGTGTCTGCAGAATCTTCCAGTTTGCATTTGCTTAAAAATCCCGCATAGCCTACGAATTAGCTAACCGGAAAACAATCGAGAAAGAGTTTTGCTTAAAGAAAAACTATGAAAAGTAGTTGTAAAATTATTTGATACTTAGACTCACAGTAGTGCTGTTCAGCCCTTTAGATTGTACGCTCGGTGAGAGCAGGGACCTTCACCATGGCTCTTTGTAAATGGATTGCTGAATGTTGAATTAACTTTTTTTTTTTTTTTTCCGGAGTAATTATTAATAAAATATACTTTTTGTGGCACAGATTGTTTTTCTCTCTCTCTCTCTCTCTCTCACCATTTTCCAAGGGCATTCAGTCACCTTTTTTTTAAAAAAAAAAAAAAAAAATGTTTTGGGGTAAATTGAGGGAAAGTTTTAACGTGCAGCATCACCTAGTGGAGAAACGTTGCAAAGCTCACCATTTCGTTTTCTTAAACTGGCCGTTTGGTACTGTTTGAAATTCTTTTAATAGAAGAAATTTAAAATAGCTCCATGGTGTAGGGAGATAAGCACTGTTTCTTGGCCATGACGGAGGGAACACGTTTCGAGTGCTTACGACTGGCTGAAGGCACACCTTTCCAACATGCTGATGATTAAGTAAACTTTAGAGTGTTCCAGGCAGAATGAATACACAGGTGTGATTTGAGTGGCTGCCACTTGCTAGACTCTATTGCTGGGTGCCTATACAGTCAAGATCTTTTTAAGCCTTCCAGAAAACCTCAACTGGTAGATATTGTAATATCTCACTATAGAGGGGAGGATACTGGAATTCAGAGAGACTAAGGACTTCTTCAGGAGCCGTGGTACAGAGGCTAAGTCCTCAGCTGTTCGCTTAAAGGTTGGCAGTTTAAACCTACCAGCTTCTCCTCGGGAGAAAGAAACGTCAGTCTGCTTCTGGAAAGATTCACAGCCTTGGAAACTCCACGGAGCAGTTCTACTCTGCCCTGTAGTGTGATAACGAGTTAGAATTCCATGGGACAGCAATGGGTTTATTTTATTTTATTTTATTGGTTTTAAGTGACTTTTTCAGTATTCTGTAGCTAAAAGTAGCAAAGATAGGCCTTAAATCAGGCTTAACCAGTAACCCTTGGGCTGATTTGACTCATGGCACCGTCACGTGCATCAGAATGGAACTGTGCACCATAGGATGTTCAGTGAGTGATGTTTTTGGGAAATAGATCACCAGGCCTTTCTTCCAGGATGCCTTTGGGTGGACTCCAACCTGCACCCTTTTTGTTAGTAGCTAAGTACATTCATTGTTTACACCACCCGGGACTTCTGAATGAACGTTACTCTCTCCAAATCCTATGCTTTTCTTGGTTTTCCTTTAACTTTTGCCTCCTGCCCCCTCCCCTTAAAAAAAATTTAGGCCCACCACAAAGGGTTCTACCGAGGTTGGGCCCCTAACCAGGCCATTAGTATTCTGTGGATGAAGTGGCTCTATTTGCATGCTCCCTGTTCCTGGGCAGACATCTGTGATGAGTGCAGAGTATATGCACACCATTGAGCTCAATGGGGATGTGGATGACTGAGCTTGCAGAAACAGCTTCCAGCAGTTCCACAGGCCCCAGGTGATTGCTGCATTACTGATAGCATGCCTTATAGTTTTCTTTGTAGCTATTCAGGATGGACACAGATCATTTGCTTCTTTTCTGAAATACTCTTAAGTTGCCTTAAAATATTAAGTGTTTAATAAGAATTTTAGATTATTTCCTACAGTGGATTGTTGTGTAAAACTGTCATTGTAAAACTGAGTAGATTTCTTGGTTCTCAATAGTAAATTTTTTTTTTTTATAACAAGCTTATAAATATTTTTTTATTTAATTAAGAAGTATTTTCATCTTTGTCTTTTGAGGGGAAGGGTCATTGCTCTAGCAAGGGAGGAAATTGGTTCTTTGACTTTTTTTTTCCCTCTTCACAGAATAAGTTGTCTTAAAGTAAAATAGTTTTGCCCTCTTAATTCTAGTAATGTCAGTGATAAAAGGTTGCAGGATTTCTGAAGTGGGAGTGAATTTCAGGGTCATGGTGGAGAATTAGGCTCAGCCTTGCATTGCTCTTTGATGGGAGCTCTTCCATTAGCTCAGTTTTTCTCGGTGACCCTCTCTCTCACTTGAACCTCTAATAAGTATCCTGAAGTACGTAAGGCAAGACGTAGAGGTTGGCAGTTATGCTAGAACAAGGACCCAGTTCTGCTGACCTCTAGTAGCATGCCCTTTTCTCTGGCTATGGTGTTTAGAGTTCTTTTAGTTAAGTAACAAATAAGTGTGGTAAGCGTGGGCCCGCAATAACCAGCAGAGTTTGGATTTGTGAATGTCATCATTGGGGTGAGTAGAAAAAAGGCAGAAAGTACATGTAAGTGCTTTGGACTGGGCAGTACTCTGGTCAAATTGGAGGGACTTTGTCTTCTGGTGCTCTGAGAAAGGGTTTCCTAAACTCACTCCATTAAGGGAAGGGCTTTATACCTGTAGTCCAGAGAGTCTATGAACCCCCAGAGGTTATTATATAAAATTCTATGTAAACATGCATTGATTTTTCCCCTTTGGGGTTGGCTTTGGTCAGATTCTGAAAGGAGATAATGACCCCAAAGGTTAAGACCCACGTTAAGTAAGCAGCAAAGGCTACTCAGTTGATGTGGGATCACCCAAAGAGCAGAAGACCAGGAGCTTGAAACCCTGAGTTCTAATCCTGGTCCTGCCACTGAAGTTGCAGGATTTTTTCAGGTGGGTATTTTCATCTGTTTCCCAAATCCTAGAGTGCTACACTTCTGTAAAATGTCTGAGCTGGTTGGTGGTAATGGTCAATCTTTTTTTTTTTTTTTTTAATTTTTATTTTTTATTGTGATTTGGGTGAAAGTTTACAGAGCAAATTCACTTTCCATACAGCAGTTCACATACACTTCGTCTCATGACATTGACTACAATTTACCACAATGCAACAGCTCCCCTCTCACTTCTTCTCCATAGTTACCTCTTCCCTGTGTCCTTCCCTCCCATGCACTCCTGCCCCCTGAGCTGTCTCCCTGTGCATACATAGCCCTTCTGCTCTCCCATGAATGATCTCTCCAAGGAGTGTATCTACCTAATGTAAATGGTCAGCTCATATGCTTGTCTTTTGGTTGGCTGGAAGCCACAGGTGTGGGTTCAATTCCAGACCTGAAGGGCAGCTAGGGGCCATAGTCTCAGTAGTTCCATCAGGCTCTATCAGACCAGCAGGTAATGGTTAATCTTGATTGTATCTGTAATAAGGCAGAATTGTGGCACTTAAGGCAGAGGTAAAGGGTGGAGAGAGAACATACCTTGAAGGCAGCTCATTTTGCACAGAGCTAGCCTTGCTTTTGTCTGTCATTTTTTTATTTTTTTGCTTTTGTCTATCATTAGAGAAATTTGTATTTTGAGAACAAAGGAACTGAAGATGGTTAGAATTTGTTGCTCTTGAAACATTTTTTTATGCATAAGGTAGGAGCCCTGGTGGCACAGTGGTTAAGTGCTTGGCTGCTAACCAGAAAAATCAGAGGTTCAAAGCTACCAACTGCTCCACTGGAGAAAGGGGAGGCAGTCTGCTCCATAAAGATTTACACCCTTGGAAACCCTATTGGGCCATTTTCTTTGCCCTATAGTATCACTATAAATTAGAATCAACTCAATGGCAATGGGTATGCTTAAGGTAAAGAGTTATATGTTTATTTGAATTTAATTACAAATTTAACTTCTACATTTCCAGATATTAAATATGTCCTTGTTGCAGTCAGCAGATGCTCACGGGTTGACAGCAGAGGAGAGGAACCAAGTTATACTTGACCTTAAAGCAGCAGGATGGTCGGAATTAAGTGAGAGAAATGCCATCTATAAAGAGTTCTCGTTCAAAAATTTTAATCAGGTAATTATTATCACTTCTTGCTAGTGCCATGGTCTATTTTTGTCTCCTTGGCTGTGACTGTATCCGATACCACTGGATGTCTGGTCCCATGTGGATTCAGCATCTAACTCCTCCTTTCCTTAAGAATTCAGTATTGTTCCTCCAACCTTGATGACAGTTGCTACTGCTCACCTGGCCATTTCTCTGCTCTGGGGGATAGGGGTGGTTTGTGTCATTTGAAAAATCATATTTTAAAACTACTGTTGCTTTGATTTGGTGTTGGTTAGGATATTTACTTTCTTTTGAGATTTCAAATAACCCTAAAAAAGAGTGTGAGGTTTTTGTATTTTACTGTAAAAACTGTAAAAATGGTTGAGAAACATATACCTGCCTCTCTGATTTCCCTGACTTTTCCTGGGAGGTTGGTAAATTTTCTTTCCTTCCATAGTTGTATTTCTATCTCTGGATCATCTCCCAAACTGCACCCTCTTCCCTGATTGGTCCATTTTCCCCAGCCTCTGGTGGCGTAGTGCCTAAGGCATCTGACTGCTAACCAACAAATTGGTGGTTCAAACCCACCAGCTGCTCCTCAGAAGGACAATGGGGCAGTCTACTTCCGTAAAGATTTACAGCCTCGGAAGCCCAATGGGAGTCGCTATGAGTCAGAATCAAGTCGATGGCAGTGAGTTTGGTTTTTGGTTTTTAAAGCTTTTCTCAACACCTGACCTCTCCCTTTGGAGACTGTGCCTTACTTAACAAAGTGACTGTTCCATTAGGGCTCCACCCCGTTTAGAGAGTCATCTCCCATGACTTGCCTTTCAGTTATTACTACATTGCATTTATGTAAGGTAAAATGCTTTTGACTATTTCATGTTTGTTCAGTTAGTTTGGCAATCCTTTGGACAGATTTATTGTTTTTATTTATATTAGATGTTGGCATCCAGAAGTCAGAAACCATGTTGGCTTAAATAACTCTCTATTGTAGCTAACATAGTTCTGCGTACAAACAGGCATTTGATCAACGCAGATGTTGATTATAGTGCATGCTAGTTTCTAGAAGGGTGTGTGAGGACCAGATTTCCGCCAGAGGAGCCTTCAGCTTGTTTTCCTAGTCAATGCTGTTGGCTCCACTGAGCTCTGTGCACTATTCTGCTCTCCATCCATCTGGCTGCCAGCCTTCTGCTGTGAGTCCCCAACCCCTGAGGAAACCTGTACCAAGCAGACTGCCTGTCCCTGCCGCCCCATGTGCTCGACAGCTCTTGTCAGGGGCTTAGCACTAGGTGGCTGGTAGCAGGGAATCCCATTGGTACAGTAAGCTTCTGCATAAGCTCTAGGTAGCATTTTCTAAGCTTATTAAAATTCTTACATGTGTACGGCCTGACTTCTTTAAGCCTGGGCTAATTTATTGGGCTTGAACATGTGGCTTAAAGTACTTGAGTGGTGCTGCCTCAGGCTGTGCCCGTGAGTCAGTCCTTCAGCCTTGAGTGTGGGGTGGCTTTCAGAAATGGCAGGCAAGGGGAAACTATGAAGGGCATCCTTGATTAATTGTAACCTATTCACCAGGACATTTAGTTAACTAGGTTTTTTTACCCCCCTTTACCCAGCTTTTAGGAGAAAGAGGCAGATGACAAGAAAATTGGCCAATGTCAGGGAATTTATTCAGAGAACGAGCACTGAGATTATATCCTGGGGTCAGTTTTGTAGCCATTTTTCTACTTCTATATGTACAGTGGCCTGTAATGGCAACTGATAATGACAGCTGTCAATGCCCCCTAGCCAGAGACAATCAGGAACACACCTGTGGTTGAGCAAGTTGTGTGTATTACTCGTTGCAGCGAGGGAGAGTGTACCCTGGGTCATCTAAGGAAGAGGGTGTTAGAGAAGACTTATTATAGGATTTGGGCTTATGTTAGTGATTTTGGGGAGTTCTTAAGGAAGCACAGCTTCGCTCTAGATTGAGTGATGGTGTCAGGAAGCAGGCATAATTCTGTGATTGGATATTTTAATAAATCTTACCTATATGGAGAACAGATTAAAGTGAGGCTAAAGCTAAAATTGATGGAGAAGCAATAATCACTCGTTAGCTAGGAGAGGGGCTGTTTGGATTTTGTGGCTTGGACAGTGTTCTTGTTTTGTCCATGTTGAGACATGATTATGCAGTGTTTTTGTCTTGATCCATCATGGTCACAGAATGGCCTTGGCTGATGTTGAAGTGCATTATCAATAGAAGGACAGCAAGGCCCAGCTGTGAGTGCCAGGAAAAGATCCTTACTCACCTTTCATTTAAGAAATTTTTTTTTTAAGTGTAACAATAATGTAACAACATTGTATTAGGATGGTGTAAATTACTTTTTCTTTTTCCCATGGCAGCTGCAGGTTCGTCTTTTTCCATTCTCTTCTAGTCTTTCTCCATATGTATAGTTTATTCGAGATGTGGCAATTGTGCATGTGGTTAACATTTTGAAAAATTCATTTAATTTGTGTTGTAAAAGCAATATTCATTAATTCATCAAATATTTATTAAGCATCTTCTCTGTGCTAGACAAGATTCTAAGGTCTTGCAGCTCACATTTTAGTGAGGAAGATAGAAAATAAACAAATGAATTGAAAAAATAATTTCAGGGAATGTTAAGTGTCATGAAGGGGAATAAAATGGGATATTGGGATGAGACTATGGAGGGCTGAGGGCACTATTGCCTGAATATTGTGAAGAAGGCCAATGTGTGAAGGTCTGAGGGAACAGAATTCCAAATGGAGAGAACACCAAATACAGAGTTTCAGAAGCAGGAATGATCTTGGCATGATTGAGGGAGAGGCAGAAGGCCAGTATTCTGGAGAGGACAGAGAGAGGAGAAAAGAACAGTGGAAGATGAGGCTGCAGTGAAGGGGAGGTGGGTATTGGGTAGGTGGAGGAATTAAAAAAGTCGTATTTCAGACATGTCAGGATTGAGATTACTTGTTAGTCACCCAAGGGTGCTGTCGGGGTGGCAGTTGGATACGTGAGGTCACAGGTCCGGCTGAGGATATCAGTTTGAGAGTTGCCAGAATATAGATGATCTCAAAAGCCATGGCTTAGATGATCAAGTAGAGAGGGGAAAATTATAAGGGCACAGTGCTAGCTAGGTAAGAGAGGACAGGATGGAAGGAGCAGGGGGAGCCAAGAAGGTAGCATATCTAAGTATAGATGCAGGTAGGTTGGTATATTTGTCCTGGGAGAAGAGATAATTCTCTTCTGATTGCTTCTATTTTTTGAGTGAAGTCATCAGTTGAAAGTAAGCAGGGGTGGAAGGGAGGAGTGTTGGAGATCTGAGGAGATGGGAGAAGGTGTGCAGTAGTCATCTTGGGGAACAGTACGTATAGGGAACTAAGTGTGGTCAGTGCTCCATGTCCACAGGAGATTTATGGTCATCATGTAACGTAAAAGTTTTATATGTTTTGTGTAGCCCTGTACAGCTGTTTAGGCACACCTTTGGAGTAGGATTTAAACAAGGGCTGAACTATTGCCAAATGAGTGCAGTGGAGAAGCAGAGGGGCAAGGCAAGTAAAGATGTGTGCAAGAAAATAATGCTCTATGAAGTCTAAGCTGGTAAGTGGGGAAGTGTAGCTGTGATGTGGGAGATGGATCGTGAAGAGGTGGGCATGTAATTTGATGTAATCTTTTTGGAGGACAATCAGATCATGTCTGTCAGTTTAAAAAATGTACATTCCCATTGTCTTATCCTAGAAATTTATTTTCTAGATCTATTTCTGCATGTTTGCAAAAATGGATATAGATAGCTCTAAATAGTCCAAATTAATTTTATAGCTCAGATGGGTGCAAATATTTGGGGGATTACAAGTGTACAAATTCTCAAGGGGTCCTAGTTGCATAGGTGGATCAAGTCACCTTAGGTTTTGGTTGCTGCCAGCGCACTGTCTCTGCTCTTGGTGCATGGGCTCTGAACTGCACTGAGCTGCAGTGCAGTGTGGGTTGGTGGGCAGTGTGTTGGTGATGGGTGGCATGCCGTGAGCAATCAGAGCATGGCAGTACCAGAACCCGAGGCAAGGAGTTTCCATACTCCGAATGTTTGGGCTCAGACAGGGAGGGGCTAGCATTTATTAAGGAGTTTTGCTTTTTTTCTGTTCATGTAGACATAAGGAGGGAGAGGTCTCTAAGTGACATACAAACTTATTCTTTGGTGTTTGGCTACTTCAGGGTGTCTGCATTGAAAGAACAAAATGGCAGTTAGAAATGTGGGCATGTGTCCCATAAAGATAAATTTTGCTATTCATTGTCATGAATGGCGACAAGGCGGGGGGGGGGGCGGGGGCGCTTACACAATTGGAGGAAATTTTAAGCTTTAGAAGTAGTAAGGTTTTGGAACCTGGGAAACAGCTACACCAGAAGCCAGCAGGTGGAGCCCTCCCAAGCAAGAGCCCAGCCTGGCCCGCCCCGCAGGCAACCTAAACCCCCAGGGAGGGCTGTCCCCTTCTCTCACTCCTAGATTCCATAAGCCCTTCTTATCCAGGACGCATCTGAGTATCAGAAATAGCTAAGTGGTGGTGGTTGAGAACCTGACTTGGCTTGATCCTTTTTTTTTTTTTTTTTGGTTGAATGAAGAATTCTGGGTGGAGGATATGAAGAGTTTCTGGTGGCAAAGTGCCTAAGGCTGGAGGTCCAAACCCACCAGCCACTCCTCTGAAGGAAGGTTGTGTAATCTACTTCTGTAGTGATACTGCTTTGGAAACCTAAGGGTTGCTATGAATGGGATCCGACTTGATGGCAATGAGTTTGGTTTGGTTTAATTGGTAATGGAGGACATGTTTGATTCAGGAGAAAGGGACCAAGCCTAATGAGAGAGAACTCGAGTTTCCTGTGTTCCTGGGGGAGCTCCTGTACCTTGTCTGTGCTGTTTTAGGTGGGGCTGTCTGGCAGGGCATTTGAGTACCATAGGTTGAATTAGGGGCGGGCTGTTTCGATCTACAGAAGTGGCAGTTTTCCATGTTGCAGTCTATTGTTTGTCAGAGTTTAGTATCTCTTG